CTGATATTTTGATTCGGGTGAGGTCAGTTTATTAGAGAGAGTTATTTATGCTCCAATAAAGCAGTCAGATCGAAATAGAGCTAAAACAAGCCTGGCGGAGAGATAGTGAGAAATTGTACTTGATGTGCATGATTGGGAAAGAAGACAGGATTAGCTTCCAGTCACTGTTAAATTCAACTCATGATAAGTTGCGAAAAAGAAACTATTTTCCTTTCAAAAGAACATTACATCAGGACAGCATATAATCACTTGATTTTTGGTCCACAATGGAAGAGAAAATATCAACGTTAAAGATTTTCATTCATCGATGTCATTATGACTTAGTAGTGAGCTAAAATATCTGTTATATCTGGGGTTTTTTTTGTTTTGTTTTGTTGTTTTGTCTCTTCCTCTTTATGGTTGTTTCTCTCTCTCTCTCTCTGTGTGTGTGTGTGTGTGTGTGTGTGTGTTTGTTTGAAGAACTGCCCCATCAAGACATGTTATTGTTAACTGTCTCCTTCGCCCCACTGATGGTGTATAGATGGTGGATTACTGACATTTATCGAGGATTGTATTTGGTTGTCTGTGAGTGGAGGTTATTGGTGCTGATTCACAGAGCGTGTAATTTAAAGAGCTGGTGTTTTGAGTTTGAATAGCTGTCACACCCCTACCTGCCAGCTGGATGGCCAAATAATTATTTTCTGCTTTGCAATTATCCATCTTAGAGAAGGTGAACCCTGTGTGATATTAGTCCAACCCATATATTACAATCAAGTCTAATCCATGGATTGTGGGCTTCCACAATCGCACATATGTTATAGACAATTGATAAACATCTTCTGACCAATCATAATCAAGAATGCAGCATATTCTTTTCACTAGCTATTATCCAACTTGTGCTTGAGTAGTTATTCTGGTGACTGTTTTACTTTTTCTTTAAGGAGGTAAGTACAAAGTATGAAGGTTTTCTTATGAAGTGTTCACTAGCGATGTTCCCCAAAGATATCCAATTACTGAGTGACTCATGTAGACTCCGAGTAATTGGATGCAAAGGTTTACATGACCAGTTTCTTCTGTTTAATTAATTATTAAAAAGATTACATTAACAGTTAGATTCTCATCAGTTATTAATAGATTATTAAGCTGCCAAGCTGCAACTCCATTAAGTCTCCATTCACCTTACAAGGCCCAAATTTGCCACTTGAACATGGCATAAATAAGAACTGAGCATCTTTCTTATTTCTTATGTGTTTCTTGATTGGAAACAGATACAATACACTTTTCAAAAAAAAAAAAAAGATGTTACATAATCAGCTATCTAACCATTGAGAAATCTTTTCTAAATTCGCACATAGCCATACAACTGCTATAACCAAGAAAAGTCAGATAGGATTTCACATGGTTTATGGTTTTCCTCCTGGCTTCTATCAGGCACAGAGGCACAGATGTTCCAGCAGCAAAAGCTCTGAAACTGGCTTTGCTTCAATCTTTTTTTTCAATTTTTTGCTTCAACTTGGCTGATCATGAACAAATGATTTGTCAGCCGATAACTAGAGCAAATCATCTCTACATTGAAGGCTTGTGCTGCTAGTCTGTTTGGCTGATATGGGGATTTGTGTTGTTTTTTATGACTTAGCATTTTAAGGTTCTATGTGATATATGGTACATTGGTGCAAATTTTGAGACTTCAGCTAAACTTGAGATAATGTAATCTACTTGAAGAGCTTAACAATGGCTAGACTTCAAAATTTACATTATCAGAATTCTAAAACAAATACATTATATGGCTAAATTTTTTGTAGAAACTTCACACCCATATGTGGTTCTTCCCCAAATTCTTGCCAAAAGGTTGGAGGCACACAGTTGAATAGAATGTCTTTGTATGCTGTAGCATTACAATTTCCTTCACTGGAACTAAGGGGCTCAAACCTGTTTCAGCATGATAATGAACAAAGTGAGTTCCATGTGCACAAAGCAAGCTCCATAAAGACATGGTTTGTCAAGGCTGTAGTGGAAGAACTCAAGTATCCTGCACAGAGCCATAAACACAACCCCACTGAATACCTTTGGGATGAACAGGAACATTGACGGCATCCCAGGCCTCTTTGCCCGACATCAGTTCCTGACCTCACTAATGCTCTTGTGGCTGAATGAGCACGAATCCCCACAGCCACGCTCCAGAATCTAGTGGAAAGCCTTCCCAGAAGAGTGGAGGTCATTATAATAGGAGACGGGGATTAAATCTGTAATGCAATGTTCGGAAAGCACCCATGCGTGTGATAGTTGTCCACAAACCTTTGGTCATATAGTGTAACTTTTGTGTTGTGAAAATGTTTTTTAACAACTTTATAAGTTTAGATTTATAACATAATTCCATTGATTTTAGTCCATTTTACTCAAAAGATAAGACCATTGTTAAAAACAATTTTCATGATGAAAGATGAACAATATATTGTATCTTGTTTCTCTTTGTGAATCACAGAGAAATAATTCAAGCAGATCATCTTTAAATGTATCTCGAATTCAGAGACTAACCATCCATGTTTCTTTCTGAGCAGAAGCAATAGACCGAGTTTAGATTGAAACCGAGGAAAATCGACTTGGAACTTTCAATGGATTGCAGCTGGATTTCATGAAAAAGTAGTTACATCTGAGGAATGAATACCGATTTCAACTCTGAATACAGCCCAATGCCCCCCCACCCCCCCATTTTCTCCCTAGTTTGGTTCTACCCACCAGCCAGTCTCTATTATACTGTATGTCTGCTACCAAATGGAGAGGGTGAAGTCTAACACTTGCTTCCTCTGAGACAAATGAAGCCAACCAAATTCATCTTTTTGAACAGCTGCTCATGCTGTGTCACAGGGCAGCATAACACACTAGAAAGAAAAGTGCTATCCACCATCTTTCACATACATGAGCTCATAGATGCACATGATTGGCTAGTGTTGCTGTGATTGACAGAGGAGAAAGAGTATGCTCCTCCCACCCAGACAGCATGGCCAGTATTGCTGTCTCGGACTCTCTGCCATGGATGGCTGTGGAATCAGTGGGATTTAGACTCCCAACGCTTTCCACTTTTAATACAAGGTCACAAAAGGTAAGGCATCAAGTTATAAAGATTGAATCTAATCTAAATATGGGCAAAAATTTCATGTAGGCTAATTCAATGATCTTACATGAAACACCCGCTCTCGACAAATAAAACATCCATGCAATATGCATGTGAGCACACTTTTAGCAGTGAAAAACTTTTATTGATCAGCAGTAAAAAGCTAAAAAGCACATGATCCTTTTAACTAACTCAATAGAAATAGCACAAAATTACAGAATAAGACACTTTCCCCCAAAATAATGCAATTTCACCCCAGAAGTCGAGTGCTGGAGATGTATCACAGACAAAACCTTGAAACTCAATCTTAAGCGGTTTGCTCCGCTTCAGTGGAAACTGATGATAAAGACGGGGAATGGGCTGGAAAAAGAGAGATGGTTAAAAAAAAAAAAGACCCTTCATTAGACAGCCCACTCGAAAGAGAGAGATAGAGAGAGAGAGAGAGAGAGAGAGAGAGAGAGAGAGAGAGAGATCTCAAGGTTATCACAGTGAGAGTAGTCATCAGATAAAGTGCTCAGATCATTCGGCTTCTCAGAAATCTAAATTGTGAAATGAATACTGCTCCTCTGGCTGATGCTTAACTGAGAAGGTTCTGTTTGTCTCGAATGTTGTATTAAAGGATAAAGTTCTATTTGACGATTAGCTTGTAAGATCCCGGAAGCTGGTTTGGGGATTTTCTGTGTGTACTTTTGCACAGATGGAAAATGAACATTACAGTTTAAATCACAAGTGAAACGTGAAGCCTTGTCATGGGACGTCATCGTAGAGTTGTATGACTTGAGCTCATCTGTAGTCATAGTCTGTACAGAAAGATCACACATTCAAATCTAACACATTTTTAGAGACTTCAGACGTTATGTTTCCCAGTTTTCATATAGGTTTTATTTTCACATGTGATTTCACATGTATGCATGTATTTTTATTTTGTCTTTTTTTTTCTCCAAATTATTCATTTTTCACATGTTAACTTTCAACTTGTAGTGAATGTTGTAGTGAACTTTTTTATTTTTCACGTGATTTTTTCACATTTTTAAATTCATTTTGCTCCGCGTGAATTAATTAATTAACGTACTATTCATTTATTTTCACATAGTGCTGTGCTATTTCTCTCATTAATGTATCATATTTATACTATATAATGTAAAAATCATGTAAAAAATCATGCATTTTCCTGAGCTGCTGTAAGTCCATCAGATGTTTTTTGTTCTGTCACTTCATGTATTTTAAACTTGGTTAGGCTAGGCGAGAGCCAGTTGTTTGAGACTTCTGCTTGTCTTTGGTGTGTGTGTTTCATCCACAGATTTTTTTAATCTTCTGTTGTGTGTTAACTAGCATGCTAATGTTATCCAGTGGCTTGTTCTGTCTTTCTCTGTAGTTCATCCATTTCAATCTTGGTGATTGCATGACAATAAAAAAAAAACAGTAAAGTTTTTATTGTCATAACTTTTCTATATTACCATACTATCTTTATTATTTTTTTATTCACACCCTGGATGGGAAACCCCTGAACCACATACCAAGCTAGCTCAAAGGTTCTAGGTATTAAGAAACTCCAATAGTTTGGAGTTCCAGATACTTGCCCGTTTAATACATACACTCTTAGAAAAATGGGTTTTTTTTTTGTCATGTTGTAGAAAACTAGAAAAGGTAAGTGATTTCCACAGTTATTTGGAGGTAATTTGTTGGAGTGTAATATCAGGATTTCTGTATTCTATCAAACATTCCTCCTTTTCTGCTTTCTTTTATTAACTGCTGAATAAACAGTAGAGCTCTGAAATCCTTTAACACCCAATTTGATGAACAATCCTAAGTAGAATCTTTTAATTAGTCATTCCAACACAGACAGAATAAAAAATTTGAAATAAAAAAAAAATGTCATTTCTTTCATTACTTTTACATACAATGGGGTCCCTGGAGGACTAGTGGTTAGGCCACATCACTCTTATCACTGTGGCCCGGGTTCGACCCCCGGCCACTGGGGTTGCATGCAACAGTGCGCTCTCAGTGTCGGTCCCAAGCCCGGATAAAATTGGGGAGGGTTGCTTCAGGAAGGGCATCTGGCATAAAAACTGTGCCAAATCAAATACACAGACCAACGATCCACTGTGGCGACCCCTAATGGGGGCAGCCGAAAACGGAACAACAACTATTACATACAAAATTTTCATGCTTGCTTTTATTATACCAATCAAAACCTCAGAAAATGGCCTTTGCTTCATGTCAGCTTAGAAATGCTTTTTTATTCTGACTTGTGAAATTTGCTGAACTTGTCATTATGAAAAAGATAGATTAAAAAAAGGATTTGCAATATAAACAGGATTAGAAATGCGGCCTCGTTTAGGGTCATCTATCTGAGACTTACAGCTCGTCTCTGACGCAGCCTGTGTGGCTAATCCATCCTAATGTGTTGTCTGATCTAAAAGGAGATTCAATTTGGTGTTCTTTTTGGTGGTGAAGATACACTGAGGCCATATCTTTGGTGATAATCAGAGCACATAGAGGTCAGAGATTTCATGCAGTGTGAGATGAATTGAAACAATTCAGTGTTTAACAGTAATACCAATTAACGTCTTCGCAGGATTAGTCTGGGTCTTTCGTACTGCTCATGTGTTCTGTGTTTTTTTTTTCTCTCTTATTTGCTTTCAGCTTTGTCCCTGGTCCCAGCCAAAATACACATCAAAATCCACTTCAGGTCTCTGAATCCGACACGGACACGGTGCATTCCACTTCATTCGTCCTCACATCTGGCTTAAAAGACTGTGGAAATCGGAAGAAGATCCGCCCCTGACCTCGAAAGAAACTCTGAGGCTCAGTGCACAAAATCTGCCCTGAAACTTCCTGATTTGGGATTCTTCAGCCATGCATGGCATTCACACTTCCTGATTCAGAATGACTGTCATCTCTTTCTCGCTCTATCTCCCTCTCTCTCTCTCTCTCTTGTTTGCTAAAGTTGTTCTCCAGTTCTAAGGTGTTCTAAGCACTTTTGGCACTATGATATGTCCGCAGTATTGCTAATTTGGCCGGACGTAAGATCATTTTTGTTCTAATTCTCACCCAGTTGATCCAAAATCATGCTAATGTTATCATGACTTTTTTTTTCCTACATTTACCCAAAAATGGCTGTTAATAGTGGTGCCAGTGGAATTAATGCTGTGTTTGAATAAAGCTTGTAATTTCTAACCTCCAACTAGGAAAAAACAAAGCAAATGTTCCCTGAACTGCATCTGAGATCATGTCAATGTGGCTGCTTGCTCTGTCAGCACTAAATAAAATATAATTTCACTTGAGTTTATAGTAGTATTTACTTTTATTACTATGTTCCAATTAACATAGATCCATCAATGATCAGTGATTGGTCAGTGGGAAACAGTGTTGATCAGTGATTGGTCATTAAGAACAGTGTTGATCAGTGATTGGTCATTGGGAAACAGTGTTGATCAGTGATTGGTCTTTAAGAACAGTGGTGATCAGTGATTGATCACAAACACAATATAGTCAAGCATTGCACACTGATGGAGAGACAAGCTAATCTGCTCGCAAAACTCGTATATCAGTGTATCGTATATCGGCTGGAGAGCTGCATGGAATTCAAGACTGTCACGAATGTGCTCAAAAAGTCGCTAGATTTGTCGCTAGGCTCTTTTTTTAATTAAAGTCACTAAATGGGTCTATAAAAAGTCCCCAAATCTAGTGACAAAGTCTTTAACTGTTCCTTATTTGTTATTGTAATCGCTATTAGCCTAAAAGTACATTAAACCTCCCATTGCTATAGAGAAACTGGGTAAACACATCAGTTATGGACTTCAGAGTTAATGATGGATAGATCAAGATAAAAAGCAATTTCCTAATCCACTTCATTTCATCATAGCATGTACTTCATCCAACATTAATGGCCGTGCCCCTCATCAGCTGTGTATCTGTGATCTAAAAGACATTGTCACGACTAACAGCCATCACTCATTAAACAATGTTAGACACACATTCTTTCATAGTGAGCAGTCACGCTGTGCAGCAAAATGACTGCTTTATTCAGAATTACATAATGCCTAGAACCGAATTATGACAATCCAGCACAGGCAAGATTTACAGTTTCTTAAAGCGCTCAATTATAAACGGTCTGTATTCTTTCTTCAAGTAGCAATACACATATCTGCAAGAACGTTCTATATTGTTGCATGTGCAAAGAGACATTCATCCTGTGCCTACAAACGAGATCATTTTGCTAACACTGTCCTTAAGTGTAATGTTTCTATGACATTTGCAGATCTTTCTGACAACTGACATAAATCTAGTGTGATAGTGTGATCTAGTGTGACAGTTCTAGTAATGTGAACTGGTCTTTACATTTTTGTGGCATTATCATGGGTATTTTGCATGCATTGTACTTAATGGACTATCCACAGAGGTGCTAACATTTATAGGTTAGAATTTCGACCTCTTGCCACAGTGATACAACTTTGACTTTTTACTTGAGAACTCGGGGTGGTACCCTAAACACCGAGTTCAGCAAGTGACATCAAATCAACATGGCTGCTCACACATCAAGAGTAAACAAAGCAGCATTTAAATGAGTTTTACTGTACAGTATATCCATATATTTGCTTTTGACCAATCAACATACAGAGATATTCGCTTGTTAAATCTACAGTTTAACATGACTCGTCACAGTTAGCTGTTTAGCTTGTTGCTAACAAAAGACAAATATGGAGGCACCATATTTGTTTTTTCCCCCCACTATGTTGCGCGAACCCACGGAGGTCAAAAATGATGTATTTTTGAGTTCCAACTTCCCACTTCCAAGGTAAGTCGATTGCAGTGTTAGTCACATTATTACAATAATGGTACTTTGACATACCAGTGCGCTGAGCTACAAGTCAATTATCATGAAGTTCTAAGCTTTACCATGTAACAATCAATACTCTATGTCACGTGTTATGGGTGTTATGTCAACTTCAACGTAGGCAGCAGTCTTTATGATAGCTGACACAGTTTATGAATCAGTTGTTACTATAGAAATGATAAAGTATTACATGAGCGCATTGATATAAACCTGTAACTTGCCTTGCAGCTGCTGCTCATGAAAGGTTTCATGACAATGATAATGTAAATAATGGAAAAGCTCTCATGGTCTGGCAGAAATGACTTTAAAATGACTTTGGGCTTCCTTTGTGTCCACTGTGCAGTACTAACATTAAAGAAACTTGTGGATGAAGAATGTGGAGTAAGAGGAACGTGGACAGATGAGTGTGACAGGTTTGATGGATGAGATCTTGATTTGTTAATGGAACAGATGTGGGATCTAATTGGGTTGCTGCAATTCCAAAGGCATATGGAGGTACCTGCCAGTTAGAAAAATGAGATATTAACATTAACATTTCTGTTTCTCCAGCTGAGGAATGTTTCCTGGTGAAATCAAGCGTGAAGGTAATCAGGGGAAAAAATGGTTTTAGGAGATTCTAACAGCTCAAATGGGACTCATTTGGAAATAGTATAAACCCAATAAGGCTTTAGTTTCAGCCTTTATCATTTAAGCTTGAAACTGTGCATCTTTATTTATTTATTTGTTTGGTAATTAATTACTGCAATGTTACTGCTATACTGGTCATATAGCATAATATATTGTCAAATTACAGTTAAAAAAATGAATAATTAAAACAAAAAAAAAATTGTGAAGTGCAAAAAATAAAAAAGTATTCATTTTTACTTCAAAATCAATAAAGTAAAAAGTGAAATTGTTGTAGTGAATAATAGGAACAATAAAACTATGTGAAATTTGGAGTTTATGGCATATTGAAATTTGAAATATGTGTAAAGTATTTTTTAAAATAAAAATTTAAAAAGTAAATCATGAGTGGTGCAATGTCTTAAGTCTTAAAAGGTAATCAATCAATCAATCAATAAATCAATAAAAATTTAAAAAAGCAATATGATATGGGTAGAGAATGTGGTTAAATTCTCTACAGGATAACAGTGAACATTGCAGAATATTTTCATTAATGCACAAAATCCAAATGTAACATTTAAACTATTTCATGACAATGTAAAATTCTGAATAACACACTCTTTTTTAGAAATGTATTGAAATGACGTATTAGCTGCTTGAGAATGAATTTCTGACCTACTTATTTCAGACAAAAGAAAAAAAAAATCACCCAGTGTTCGGGTCACACACTGAAAAGAAAAAAAATCGCACATTATTAAGAATAGCAATTAACTGATTTATGAACTGAGAAATGAAATGGTGTAATTGGTGAAATTGAGAAACCTTTTATCTGATCCTGAGAAAAATAATTGAGTATGAAACAGTCTTTGAAGCTCAATTAACTTAATGAAGACATGGTTGTACAAAATGAAGAAAAATTTTAATAAGGGTACAATATTTTATCACTGATTTGAGATCATATTTAATAGGAGAAAGAACTCTTTCTTGAACTCGTCACTGAAATTAGTAATTGCATATTAATCTTATTTGATTTTCACGTAAAAGGATGCCTACAGGGCAGTGGTAGCTTGGTGGTTAGGACGTTGGGCTACTGATCGGAAGGTCATGAGTTCGATCCCCAGCGCCGCCAAGCTGCCACTGGTGGGCCCTTGAGCAAGGCCCTTAACCCTCAACTGCTCAGTTGTCTAAATAAGATAAATGTAAGTCGCTCTGGATAAGGGCGTCTGCCAAATGCTATAAAATGTAAAATAAATAAATACATCTGGGGTTATTTACAGAGATTATTGTCTTTAGCTACTAATAAAATATGGCTATGTGCTATTGTATATAAATATCTGTTCCTGCCCACATGTACTACATGTTTTTTAAGTGTAATTAATCTGCATTCTAAGTACATAACCTTGCCTGTTATGGACAAAACTGTACACTTATGCTGCGTTCATGGTGCCTTATAAGTGGTAATTTACATCATTCCCCACCCCGGCAGGTTCAACACATTAAGTAGAGAAAAAACTTGGAAATCTCCATGAAAGTGTGTC